TGAACTAAAAATCAGCACACAAAAAAAAACAATTCCTTGTCAGTTTTTTCGCATATCCCTGGAACTGTACAATATTCAAATTTACCCTCAAAGAATGATTTAAAAAAGTTTTTTTATCCGTTAACTTTTCTTTTATGCAAATTTTTTTTTTGTTATATTTGGCAAAACTGTCCCACAAAAACGTTCGTCAGAAAAACAAGAATACAAATGAGCATGTAAAGATCTCGACGAAGATCTCAAACGAGCCTGAATAAACCAATTAAATTGCAAAAATCTAGTTTTGGTTAAAAAAAAAACAATTTCCGAAGAATTTAGGAGTTGAAAAAATTTTTAGGATTGAAAAAAGATGAAAAACAACCAGAAATATTGAAGCCGATTCCAAATATGGTTAAAAAATGACAGATAGTTTGTGACAAAAAAAAGAAAAACTTGTATGCAACGCCAACATAGGATTCAACGAGTGACGTTTATTTAGTGCAAGCAAAGTAATATATATAAACGTGAAAGTGAAGTGACAGAATTTAATTCAAAAACCATGAGACCGAAAAATTGGCAGCAAAACATAACAAAAATTAGCAGTCTATACTGAAAAATGAAAAAAAAAAATTGAAAAATTGTCGAATTTACAAAGAAACAAACAGTCGGCCTCTTTAAAGAATCGCTCGTTCACACATAGTACCAAAAGTGTTTTGGTAGTTGTTACTTATGCTATCAAAAACTCCACACTTTTAATATAAAAACGGCTAAAATTTTTCAGGTTGCGGACCTACCTCCCTGACAAAATCACAAGCAAATTAAAATATGCAAGGTTTTAGTACATGAAAGACATTCAAGTCATCTATTAATTTGAACACTTGTTCTTACTTTTTTCTTTTCAGTTCAAACAAAACCGGTTTGTAAAAATTTGATCTGTTACTTTCATTGCAAAAAATTGACTGAAAAAACTTCAAATTTAAATTAGCTAGTTCAACTTTTTTTGGTCGTACGTAGTTGATTAGCTTTAAAAAACAGTAACCTGAACACAATAAAAGAAATAAAAGGGCCCTCCAAAGTTTTTATTAGATAAAAAAAAGCTCCATCTAATATTCTGATATGCTAAAAAGCAATAACTCAAATATGTACTTGTATAATTAGGTTCTTTTATTTTATTCTGATCAAAACTACTAATAACTTTTAAGGAATTGTTTTTTTTACCTTATGAAATTTTAAATTGAGGTCACAGGTACAAAATTTTTGTAATGCAATCATTTTGCGTAAAACTGTCGGGTTTTGAAATTTGCTATTTTTGCTACTTTTTTGGACTAACTAGGGAAAGCTTTGAAAGTTCTCTCAATGATGTTGAAAAAGTAGCGCAAAATACCTATGATTGATGGCACATTCCTATTCTAAAAATGTTTCAAAGTAAATTCAAGCAAACTGAAAAGCCAAACTAATTTCCTGTACGGTTCAAATTTCAACATTTAGAATTTCTTTTTCTTAGACCACAAAACTTTTTCGATCATTATTTTTCACCAAAAAAACTGATCGAGACCAAATAATGGGCATTTGCAATCTTCAGCGCTTTTCCCTGATGTTCAAGCAGTGTGTTATTCCAACTTTCGAAAAATATAGGTATTAATGTTTTTCGTGTGCATGCTTGCTGTCGTTTTTTCTTCGGATTAAGAGTTTGTCTTGAAAATCATAGTTTTTAACAAAACAATATTGAACTTCAGTGATGTGGTTTCCTTCAATTCTGATGAAAAACATTTTAAAATGTTTCTGTGGGTTTGAAAACTGTCAAATTTGCCCTACACTGGATTAAGCAAAGCACGTTTTGATTATGGTATCTACGATACTGAGAGTGTAACAGATGTTTGTATGGTTTTTGATGAAATCCGCCCTCAAAATTTTCAAAATTGAAATTAAGCAATCTAAGTAAGTAACCAAATTTTTCTAGACGCCTAAAATTTCTTCATTTAAAGTTTAGTATAATTCTTGTAGTTTTCCAAAAAACTCTACCCAAAACTCTTCGAGACCAGTTAAAAATCAATCAAAACGAATTGAAATTTTTTTCAAGCTAGCCTTTGTTATAGAAACAACTTCATCATAGATTTAAAAAATATATTGGCTATAAATAGTAACAAACATCGGCCATTTTGAGAAATGTATTAGCCATAGATAGAATCACAAAACGTTCAATTATAGGTACGTATGGAGTCAAAAGTTCATAAATGTTCTTTTTATTTTGGCTAATTTTTTTTCGCGTGGTAGGGTTTTTCTTTGTAACACTTGATAAATATTATACTGCAATGAATAAATGCAAAAACTACAATTGATTTGCATCTTATTTTGTAGAGTTACCCTTATTTTTTTTTACTTTCGGTTTATTTAAACCTGATTACTAATAAAATTATCTCTTGTTTTTATTGCAAAATAACAAGAACTGAAAAAACTTTTAAGCTAATTGTTTTTGCTAGAGGTTTTTTCATCGTTACGTAATTTGATAATGGAAACTTAGGCTTGAAAACTAAAATATTTTTGGTGATAAAAAAAATTTCAAACGTTTTTGAAATCGTTGATTCTCAGAATCACATGCGACTAAAAATATAGGAGAAACAATTTTTAATTGTTGTACAGGTTTCACATCCATTTATAGAAATGAAAAACTGAAATTTAATATTCTTTTGTAATTTAAAGTTATTATTTGATTTTTTAACAATTCTATGTATGCTTGGATCAATCTCGGATAGTTGCGAAGCAAATTGATAATTTTTCCAATGTTGTGCCTAAGTGACAAGAAACTTTGACGTAAAATGAATTTTTCTGTCGCCTATATTTGAGGTCTAGAAGAATGCTCCTATGTGCTTAAAGGTGTTATCGTATCATAAGTCTATTCGCTCTATCTGTTAAAAAAATGTAGATGTAGCTATTCAGACTAAATTTAGCAGAAAAAAAATATTGATTGCAATTTGATTGTAAAATATTGATTGTAAGTCAATGTTTTTTTTTGTAATTCCTTCGTCTTAGACATTGTTGTTCTGAAGAACTAAAACTGACTATATATGATAAGGAACCATAATTTTCCGTCGAGATAACCTTTTTCATCATAACCTATTTGAACATAACCTATCTAAACACTCCCCTGCAAACATGAAAGTTTTCCCCTGCAAACATTTGTTCAAAATTTGCAGGATTGAAATTTGTGTCAATTTGGCAACAAATTATCGAACTGGGATACTCAACGCGCACTATACTTAGCCCTCTCAAAGCGTAAGCAGCACGCTACATTATTGTGACATTTCAAATTGAGCTGAGGTAAATATTTTGCTCTGAGGATATTCACAAGTACCAAAATGATAAATCAGTTCCATTTGTACCAAAATAAAAAAAATCGCGTTAGTAACAAAAATATTCAATTGGCCAAAGACTACTAAGCCGACTATTTTAAGCTGGTGGTTTAAGGTCGCCGGTGGGCGCGCTTTGCGGCGATAATCGGCTCTAATTTTCGTTTAGAGTCCTAACCTCTTTTGTCAAGGTCGCAACACGTTGGCGCGACTGCGGCGGTCACTATTCTGCTGCTTAGTTTTCTTCTGTTTGAACAGTAGAAAATTAGTGTAATAATTCGTTGGCTCACAATTCGACCAATCAGAAAACGATTTGAATAATTTTGGTACAAATATGACCGATTTTTCATTTTGGTACAAATGAACGTTGGTACAAATGGGACTTCACCTTTTGCTCGTATTTATACGTCACCAGACTAAAAAATATATCAATTTGTACTTTACATAGCGTGTGGGTGACAAATTAGGAAATGTATCAGAGAAATGAAAATTATAAATTTGAAGTTTTTTCATTTTTTGCACATTTTTCTTCTTCACTGACGCCAAAGAGCAGTTGGATCAATCAGGGTTTTTCCCTGATACGAGAAATCTTGCTCATTTTTTGCAATAAAAAATGAACGCCAACCACCAATTTCGATTTTAGGAGGTTTACAAACCATATTAAATCCTTAACAAGTCATTGGCTCAATTTCATTATAACGTATAGCGATCTCTATACTATCGCCTTGTTTAAAAAAAAATCAGCTGTTTTTCAAACAAACCGATAAAGTATATTTATTCCCGCTGCAGTTGAAAGCGTACATGCATTGCCTTTATTTTTCACTGAAAAAAGCAAAGGAATTGAATGAGGTTTTCATTACTGTGTTTGTATAGATACAAATAGTGTTTAAGGTACACATACGGAAATTGTTACATTGCCTCAGCCTTTGGGAATGAAATTCCTTCACTCGTAGTCTGAATATCTACCTTTCTCTTACATTGCCTGGTTTTGAGGGAATTACATCCTAGACGGCGGTTACCCTGCGGAAATCTTTTTTACCGATAATAAGCAGGTCAGAAATTAATTGACTATTATTTACTTTTGAACGATTTTTAAAAAAACATATACCCACAAGACTTCCCTTCAAAATGTCGTTGGCATTTCCCATTCCCGCCTTGAATCATTTCCAAATTTTTTATGAGGTTATTTGCACAGAAAAACCTATCGATAAGCAGGAACTGGAAGAGTTTATGTTCGTTCAATAGGCAAAGATGCGATTTGCTTATTTTTTCTACATCAATATTAAATTATACATCTGCAAAATGGAGCTTTTTAAAATAGCAACAAATGCTGAACAAGTAGCAGCAATGGGAATTTTTGGAAAAATTTTGAGCTTACTTTAGCTGGTATCTCTGGATACTCAAGAATAGAACTTGATTTGGTTATTCGAGCGGGCGAACGGGTGCGAAGGTTTTTTCAACCTTTTTTTTTGACAGCCAACCGATTTTCGAACCGATGTAAATTTTTGGGCGAATCAAATAAGACCTTAATTGACACGGGCTTCTTGTCATATTTGCAAAAAGGACTGGCACCTACAATTGTTGGATGTATTCCTTGTAGTTTAAGTTTTACTTGATCGTTTGAAGAACTGTTAAATTCATGTCGAGTTGAAGTGTTTTCGATCTTTTGAAAGTGACTTTAGATCTAGACTTGGCTTTGGTAACGATGACAGACACCAAACCACAGCATGATTAGCAACTCTATGCTTTTATGAAACTGAGTTAAACGCTGAGATGAAAAAAATATATACGCAAGTAACGAATGGTAAATGCAAGACGTGAAAAAACTTGCAATCTGGTGCATGTACTAAAGTAATCTCACAGTCAGCAGATTGTAAATGTAAAATCTTTCATTCAGTTCTATCATCTAACAATTCGGGTACCATAACCAAATTTGACCTAACTTATTCAACATATAGACCTAGGGCTGAAGTTTGACCAAAACCCCTACTAAACAAACTTAATCAAAACCTATATTGCTACGTGTAACGCATTACAACTTTGTTACGTTATCTGAAATTACCTTAAGTTTTCTGCTCAACAGATAGAAAATCGGTAAGTGTGTTTTGGATCTCTTTAACTACTTCCCCCCTTTGGTAACTACCCAGTACCGAATTGCCAAATAAAATAAATTGCCCCTAAAATGAAATAATTCAACGGTTAAACATGCGAATTTTATACCTAGCGACGAATACCCCCCTTTTGCAAAAGGGGTGGGAAAGTTGAAGAGATTCGTGTTTTATTCGGCTTAAACCACGTGGAATTGATATTGATGAAGTTTTTTCAACAAGTACAAAAATAGCGTTTTTTCGGCGCGCCCTCTGCTTCAAAGTTAGTATATATTGGCGCCGAAGGTAGATGCGAGCGGCCACCTGAGAACAGGGCGGTCAGAACTCGGGGGAGGAGACGAAGACGTGACTCGACCGCCTTATCACTCATAGGGTCATCCTCTGGTACTATTTCACGACTACTCACTTCAAAATTAGATTAAAAGTCCGTTGGGCGCCGCCACTAATTACTTATTCTGAAGGAGGAGCGCGCTATTTGATCAAAACTTATAGGCATTTATATAGATACATTTATAGGCTACATAGAGGGTCTGTTTGATGATCTAGAAAAGCTCGGAAATTCAATTCGTCGACCCAAAGATAGCCTGAAGTAGAATGCGATTGCCTGCTTTAATTGACCGAAACTTTAATTGACCTCTTGTTTTTGGCATTGAGAGCGGCGCATCACAATTTGCTTATAAGAACTATTTGTCGTTATAAACATTTTAAATGTTGCGCCATGATTAATTTTGCTTCATTTTAAAATTATGCTTGCTCTGAAATCGGGAAATTTTTTCAAAACGTATCAGCCAAAAGCTAAAATTGTTTTTTTTTCAAAATTTTGCAATCTTTATTTATGCATCGCCAGGGGAGGATCTAGGATCTTCTCGAGGAGGGTTTTCAAAATTTTTGTCGACCTTGTGTTTCCAAGCAACCAAATTGATTTTCCGAGCACTCCCAGAAAACTATAAAAACCTCATTTTGGCCAAAAATTTTGCGCTGAAGTCAAACTTTTGGAAAAACAGATCAAAAACGCCGTGTTTGTGCACTTTTCGGAAAACGCCGTGTTTGTGCACTTTTCGGAAAATTCAAGGAAAATCCCTGAGAGGGGGGGGGCGTCCACCACTGCGCATCACATTGATATTAAATCTTTTTAACAGCTCTCCTTTTTGTCTGAGGTGGTAATAAATTCTCTATATATCCAGTAAAGCTTAACTGTTAAGTAATCCATTAAGGGGGTGATGGAAGATTTTGGTTTTTATGTACTAGAAAAGTAAGACTGGCGAGTAATAAAGAGACCTTGTTTCTGTTTCCACACTTCCGTTTAAACTGTATATTTGGCTATACAAGTCTGGAAGTCGCACTGATTTTGGTATTATTGCACCGATTTTTGAAATCATCCAGTATAAACCTAGACTTTCTATAAATATCAAAGATCAATGGATGTTTCAGCTCTGATTACACACCTTGAATCAGCAAAAATCTGTCTACGACATCTTCGACTACGAATTAAGTTTATTTATTGACCTTGAACCGAGTTGCAGCCGTAAAAACCACAAAGAATTATGTCTGGAGACGGGACGAAAAAAGTGGCTCTTATCACTGGAATCACAGGTCAAGACGGATCCTACCTCACAGAACTTCTACTAGCCAAAGGATACATGGTAAGTGCAGAATTGTTTGTTTAATTAGGCAAGCAAGTTTTCTTGACTGCCATTCATAGTCTAATAAAGCTATTCACCCGTACTGAACATCTAAATCAAAATGCAGTGCTCAATTATCTGAACAAAACGAGCGAAACTTAAACTTCAAATGCATTTTTCTCAAAATGGGTTACCATTCGATAAAAAAAAAACAGAACAAAAATTGCTTGGAATTCAATCAGAATTACTATGGTGCAATTTAGTTTTCGCAACCAAAATTTTACCCCAAAAATGGATCATTTTGGCTTTTTTTATTCAATTACGAATAACGCTGAAATTACCAAATAATTGATGATAAAATTATATCAAAAGGAGTCTCTTACACATCCGAACAAAGTTTTGACAGGTAAAATATCCAAGTACTTAAGCAAAATGTTTAAAGTTTGTTTAAAGCAAAGATTTTTGAATGCTATCTAGTAGCAGTGACTTTTTTGGGTATCAAGCAAAACTTTTTCTCTCGCACAGGCTTCTTTTGATATATTTTCGTTATCAAATAAATCGGCAGTGTTAGCGTATTTCTTATAAACTGAAAAAAAACAAATAGCACATTTTTGGGCTAAAATTTTGGTTTCAATTTTTGCAAAATCATAATAATAAGAATCATACTAATAATAATAATAATAATCATAATAATAATTTAAAAAATAATAATAATTCTGGTGAAACTCTAAGCAACTTTTTTTCTCTTCAGTTTTTGTCTAATATTAGCCCAAATTGAGAAAACTTGTATAAAGTTTGAAAAACTCGTTTTGTCCGGTTATTTCAAATCAGCTCTAAAATCTGTTCACTATTTTGGCAGTTGTTAGAAAAATAAAAGTTGTTGGCTTATAAAATCAGCCTTTCGCAGAGATGAAAACAATTTGATCTCGACAAACTGTTTAGGCATGTTACGGCTTGATTCCAGATAGATCACTTTTGAATAATCTCTGACAAAACTTGCCAATGATTTAATCAGAAAAAAAAGTTGATTCAACAAAACTTGAAAGCATTTGGAGTTGTGCAGGTGATTGTCAGTCTTTTTTATTTATCATTGTACAATCAAAACTATGAGATCTGATATCTTAATTTTGGGGCGTGCCGTGACATACAATTGAACTTTTAAAAATTAAATTTTAACGGCCATCAAAATTATCTTTTTTATTGCTTTTTGCACATTTTTTGATATTTTCAATTCCCATGAAAAAATTAGAAGTTTAAAGACTATTTGCCCCATTTGCACTAGTTTTTTTCAAACTCCCTTTATATCAGTTTTCAACTGAGTTATCTAAAACAATTTAGACGAAAAAAATCAATAATAACTTTTTTACAGCAAAAAATCGTATTCTATGTGTCACTTCTCAGTATTATTTTGTTTCACATTTTGGTATTCCATCGCAAAAAAAACTACAAGTTAATTTGTTTCCATCTTTTATCTGTATTACGTACAAAAAAGATTGAAATGAAACTTTAACACAGAGGCGAAGCCACCCTTTAATTACATTAATACAAAATAGCACAAAATGAACCCATTTATTGACAGAAAAAGGAGTATTGGTAAAAAAGACTTGTTGTGAAAATAACAACGAACCCTATTGAAACCCATATTGCCTTATCGTATTTTGTGCAATCGACTGGTTTTTGAGTTTCATGGAAAATAATTGATCATAATGGAATATACCGGCAGAAAACTGAACCCGTATAATTGATTTTCATGCCCATTTAGCTGGATAAATATTAGTTCATTTTTTATTTCAATACAATCCATTGTTTTCGTTTATAAAATCAACCAAAATTGATTATTGTTTCTGCAAATATGAAAAGATTACTCAATACTTTGGAGCACATTCTCCAAAGCTAAAACCCGAATGAACGTGTTCATTCACGTGTACCCGTTACCCCAAAATTCAATTCCCACACCCCCTCCCCCACCATATCCCATTCAACACAACCTCCCCCACACACCTTAATACCCGCCTCCCAACCACCAAACAACTTTCCAGAACCTGCTACACAATACGCACACACACACACACACACACACACTGGGGGTTGGCTTAAAAATGGAGCTTAACATGAGATGGAGGACAAAGAAGGAACGAGGGATAAAAATTGGGAAAAAGTTAAAAAAGATCAGTAGAAACTAGAAAAAAAATAAACAACAAAATTTGTGAAAAGAAAAAGTTGAAAAAAAAGCAATTTTAATAATAATATCAAAAGCAAAAAGACCTGCAAATTTGCGACAACATTGCACTGTGCTGAAAATTTCATACATCTTTAACAACAAGTTTAAAGAATCCATTATAATCGATTATAATTGAATAAAATAGATTACATTGATCTGTCAAAAAATATAACCCATTTGTAATCAATTATAATCTATTAAATTTAATATATGTGGAGACTGCTAACAATAAAAACGGTGGCAGGAGGTATCAAAATGTAATCTTTCAAAGTCCTAATTAGAATCGGAAAGATACAGCACGTGTTAATTCATTTGAGTCTAAATTTTTGGACTCAATTTGAGTCTTTCACTTAAGGAAATTGTTCTAAAGACTAAATCGCAATTAGAGCCTCAAAATCTGAAATTTATTTCAATTAACAAGTTTTAATCCCCAATTTTCAAAATCACGTACAGAAAACTACGTCATTATATCAATTTTCTTTGGAATAACATCTACTAAAATGAGTCAAATTTCTTGGGGTTTATCCCAACAGAATCAGCGAACGCTTGTAATCGGTGGCCACGAGTTTACGAAAAAACAGGAAACAAAGAATGGAAACATTCACTGGAAGTGTTCAAGATGGGGCTCCCATAAATGCAAAACGACAGCAATAACCAGAGAAAACGATCTTATTTCCTGTAGAAATGAGCACACGCACGAAGTATTTCCTGGTCGTTCGGATGCAAGGCTTCTCGTGCAGAAAATGAAACAGGACACAACAGCATAATTATAGCAAACGGCCTGCAGTCTGTCTCCGAAGAAAAAGCAGTTCAATTAGCTCTTCCTTGCCGGTCGGCTATTAACCGGGCCCTCAATCGACAGAAGGTAAATGATAGACCCACGTTGCCGCCAATTGTCGACAGACATTTTGAAGTGCCAAAGCAACATAAGGATTTTTGCGTCTTCGATAGCAGCATTGAAGATCCAGAAAGGGTGTTGATTTTTGGAGATCGGGACAATATCCAGAGTTTGATATTACATCGAGATGTTTGGCTGTGTGATGGAGCGTTCAAAGTTTGCCCGATTCAGTTTTATCAACGCTACACCATCCACATTCAACTCGCTGGCTTTTACCCCCCCCCCTGCATTTATGCACTGTTGCCCAACAAAACAGAACACACTTACAAAAAGCTACTGAAGTGGTTATCAGCCATCACCGAAAACCACTAGCCTCACCGCATTCTCCTCGATTTTGAACGTGCAGCACTGAACGCTTTCGCTAGTCACCATACCGGAGCGTTGCTGAAAAACTGCTATTTTCACTTATGTCAAGCGTTCAACCGGAAAATAAACGAAGTGGGCCTGAAGCGACTGTACGAAACTAATCAGGATCTCAATTTGTCATTGCGCTTAATTCCAGCTCTAAGTTTCGTACCAGTTGAAATGGTCAATGCTGCTTTTGACTTGGTCATTGAGGAAATCGAAAACGTGTCGGACAAATTTGATCTTGCTTATTTAAGAAATAGCCGCAACGCATTTCTATAGCAACATTGGATTAAAATTTCTGTTCGTTCATGCTTTGAACTCATTTCCATTTTGAACGCGCAAGTTTTACGTTGCTTTGATATTTTGTTCACGTGCGTCAATTATTCTTTGATCATAATTAATGGTTCTTTGATTTGTTCGGAAATATACTGTTTCGGATTCTTCAAGAGGATGGGGTAAGTTTCAATTGCTTTAATTATAGGGTAGAATGGTATAGGGTAGATTGGTATAGGGTAGATTGGTATGTAGGATAGAATAGTATAGGGTAGATTAGCATAGGGTAGATTGGAATAGGGTAGAATGTCATGGAACCATAAAAACACAATGTAATTGATTACTATCCATGAAATTCAGTGCGGGGATGCTAAAAATTGACAAAAGTCTCTGTCTATTGAAAAAAAATAAGTAAGAGTACCGTGCGTTATAGAAAGAAAAACTACCAGAAAAAGTTGATCAGTTCTTTTTCTATCTGTTTCTAGTGCTTTAGCTCTCAAACTGTCGGCAAAATTTTTATCTTTTGGTCTGTTTGTTGATATATGCTTAGATTTTTTTGATCAATTAATGCAATCAAAATCAGTACCAAAAAGTTTTCATTGTAAAAGTAAAGATCAGTTGAATTCTTCATTTGATGTGTATGAATACTATCTGATTTTGCGTAGAGATAACGATGGACACAATCTTGCTTTCTAATGTTTAAAAAAACTCGCTGTTTTTTCATAGCGACGACTGATTTTAAAATATTGAAAAAAAACACTCACCTAGAACTTTCATTTTTTAAAAATGGTTTGAAAAACTCATTTATGTCTCTGAATTCATTGTCATTTTATTTCACGGGTCCTAAATGTTCTATGCGATGTTGTTTTTTGTTCGCAACGAACAAAATTTCGATACAAAACAAGCATAAACGTTTGCTGCGCAAAATTGTTGACCACGTTTATTTTTACAAAAATTTTTTATTTAAAAAAAAGAAAGAAAAAATTAAAATAACTTTTAGATCTTTTTAGATTTTTTCAAAAATTGAAATTTTGAAAACTATTACAGAAGGTTGTGTATTGTCTATGGTAGGCAATAAACTTTTTTTGACCAAATCAATTGTTTCAGTCAAAATGAAAAAGTTTCGAAATACAATTTTACAAAATTTTTCGTTGGAAGTTTCGTTGGAAGTTTCTTTGAAATTTCTTTTCAAAAAAACTGTGTTTATCTATTATAAACAATAATTCAAGCGTTTGAATTTTATTTTTCTTCGTTTTCTTTTGTTACTATCTGAACATCCTTGATTAGAATCTTTTGTCTTTGGCCCTCTTGAAAAAATTGGTTTTGGATTCCGAATAACGACTTGAACGGCTTCGATAGTTTGTCACATGTAAACCTAGGACATTTCTTTGAGGTATTTGAAATTGGGCGGTAAGAAAAACCAACATACAACGCCGTAGTGTCATCCCACTTCGTGAACTGTTCGAACTAATTGTTTGGCGAAAAATTCGAACACAGAAAATGTAAAAACTGTATAAAACTTTTATGAACAGTTTTTTGTCAGTCCAGACTTTTACCAGAAAAAAATGGAGGCACACCAAACTTTTTTGAAAACCCTCCACTACAAAAAATCTGCCCTTTTTTAACAGTGCGGTGATATGATTGTAAAGGTAATTGTAATAATAATGAATTCATGTTGCTGTTCTCGCTTGTAGACGTGATAAATTTCCGAAAATCGATGTATTTACTCGGTTATACGCAGTTATACATAAGTAATGAATTTTAAAAAATCAATCATAGAAATTTTCAATCATATGCATTTAAGATCGTTATTGCAATTTTATTCAGTTATTTTAGGTGATTAAATTTTCCAGGTGCATGGAATTATCAGACGAGTGAGCACTTTCAACACGAAGAGAATAGAAAACATTGGGTACGATCCAAACGTCAAAGGACGAAGTAAGTCTGTTTTTTCAAGAATTGTTAATTAAGGACGCCTCAATTAGTTCAGAATTTTTATTCGTCATCAATTTGTCAATGCAACAACATCTGTTAACTCCTTGGTTAGTTCATAACTTAATCAATTATTCAATGAAACAGCATTATCAAGTTTTTACTAGTACCCGCATCCAAGTTTAGGCGTAAATAATCGATTATAACGGATTATTATGATGATTTTTTGACAACTATAATCGATTATAATTACCAAAATTAGGTCCTTAAGGGATTTATAATTGATTATAATCGTGATATTTTCCAAGAGATTATAATCGATTATAATTGATTATAATTGATTATAGTTCTTACTAAAAACCCTTAAAATCAATTATAATCGATTATAATCGATTATAATCTCTTATTTTGCCAAAATTTTTCTTTTTTCGAATTATATCTTATGGGTTGTATTTTTTGTGTCAATTAGAAAATCTCTAAAAGAGAGATCTCTTGAACACTTTGGTTCATTTGAACACAAAGTTTTACCACGAAACAAAAGTTTCATAGAGATCCTTTCATATGAGTGGAAAGGTTCTCGCGGTAGATGAAAAATAAATTTTCCGAATCAATCATGAAACTAAATCAATTTGCTGATGTTTTGGTGTTCAAAAAAGCTTAAAATATGCATCGCAAAACAACTCTATTGGGGAAGAAATGAAAAAAAAACTTAAAAATTTGAATTAATTGGAAAACTTTAAAAATATTTGTCTCATTTTTCATTGGGACCAACGTCCACAAAAAGCATAAAATATAAACATTTTAGATGCAACTTCGAAGACAAAAATGGACAAACAAAAGGGATTATAATCGATTATAATCGATTATAATGGATTTTTGTGCAAAACTAATGAAATAGAAATTTGAATAAAAAAATGGATTATAATCAATTATAATCGATTATAATTGTGTCGAAAAATAGACGAATAAATAATCGATTACAATCGATTATAATGGATTATAATTAATTATATTTTGATTTTAAAAAGAGAGATTATAATTGATTATTAATTGATTAAAATCGATTGTTTCGCAATTTTAGTGAGACTGGTACTAAAATCGTAATATAATCGATTATTAACGCTTGGAACTGGATGCGGGTACACTTTAAACGTTACTTGTTCAGAAATCATTGCTAATTTGAGGTTGTTTTTTTGGCTTTGTTATAATTTGTCCAAACTTGAAATGTTAAAACTGTCTTAAAAATGTTTAAATAAATGTAGTGCGTTCATTCAACAGCAATTCAAAAGTAAAATATCGAAGCATTGGGAGAAAAAAGGTGGGGAAAAAATTGTCTGACATTTTGTGGTTCATGGTTTGCTATGCAAAAACAAAACGGAATACAAAACGGAATACAAATTCAATCATAATTAATGTCTTTTTTTTTCTAAATGGACTGGGAACGCCGGGTATGGGCAAAGATTAAATTAGCATTCCGATGATTTACTGTAGCAGCTTCCGCTGTAACAACAGATTTAATTGCCTTAGCTAAAATGTAGTAAGGATGGACTTTTAGTAGGCATTGATGAGAAAAATGAAGAATGAAACTTCTAAATGAGCTCATAACCAGAAAATTCTAACAGTGTTTTTCTTCATTCGGTAAAAACTTTTTGGAAAATTATAAATGCTTGCTTGAATACGTCTGAATGGTGTTCACGTGTTACTTCTTGGTCCCAAAAGGCAATTGTAAGTTATTTCTAGATTTGCGTGGAAAAAATAGCCGATTCGAAAATGCATCTTCATCTCCAGTCATCCTAACGCGGTCGTTTTTCTCTATCTGACCGTTTTCTTTGCTTTTTTTTTCAGAAGTTGGTAATTTTTTAAACTAAATCGAGATAAATGTATTTGGCGGTACAAGACCTAATAAATTTGAGTAGATTATTTGAGACTCATGGTTTAAATGTACAATCAATTTTTTTAGTCTTATTGCAAAAACCCCACGATTTGCAGGCACTCCGTTGAATTTGACTTATTTTATTTTTTTATTTTACTTTATGTTTCACAGAAGTTAACAAATTTTTGCAGTTTAGCTCATAGTTCTTTGTCTCGTTTTGTTGTTCCGACTATGCGAAAAATGTGAGAAATCTTGTATTCGGTAAATTTTGTTGTTCCGGCCATTGAAATTGGGAGAAACTTTGTATTCGGGTGTGTGCGTGAAGGTCAGGGTAAACAGATAGCCTTCAAGGCCGAACATAAATGATAATGCGCAAAAAAAACTTAGTGTGACAGTCTTACATATAATACTATAACAGGATGTTTATATATAATCCGGACGGATAACACTTTTCTTCCCCGGTTACAAGAAAATTGAATTTTAGCTTGTTAGTTTTGCTTTGTACTTTTTATCCTAATTCATCGCCCTTTCTTTCTCTCTCCTCTAGGATTGTTCTCTCTCTTACTTTCTTTCCTCTTCGTTGTTGTTCTAGTCGTCACCCTTTTTGCCTGTGGTAGTTTTTCTTCAATTACTCGGGAATCGCTGCTCGTTGTGATTGTTACCACCTCGGTGGGCTTTTCTTGTTGCAAAGTCTTTAAGAGCTCGAGCCACGCTACCACTTCCTTCTGATTTTTTTTGTCTGCCTGGTGGGCTAATCTCTTTATCAGTTCCTTTATTGGACCTGCTTCCTGATTGGCGATGGTTGAGGAGTACCTCTCTTTGTTCCCACTTGCATTATTGTCATCGCGCTGCCCAGTTTTCTTGATAGCGTGCTAATTCTTATTCGTATTGACGGCCAGATTGTTGGCGGCGTTTTCTTTGTATCTCTCTTCTTCTTACTTGGCTCAAGTATCCCCTCTTCTGGTGAACAGTCTGACACTTCCGTGTTCGAGGCTGAGAACGCAGAATCGCGAATTGTTTGCCCTTTGCTTTCGGGATTCCTCCTGTCCTTTTACTATGCTGACATAGTGTTGTTTTGCTCTCATTGATTGTCAATAATTCGTTCTTTTTTCTGAGGTAGCAAGGCTGTTTTGACCTTGCTAGTTGCTGGACCAGTAGTTTACATTAGGTCTGTCACCACAAGTAAGTGTGTTTTTTTGTCGAAATTTGAAAACATTTTTGCTTTGAACAACTCAATTTGCGCGTTTAGAGGTTTCCACATTGTGTGAATTTTGGGAAAAAAATACAGCAAATGGAAAAACTGGTGGTGACAACAAAAATGTTGTTCCAAGTCGTCCTTCAAACAAAGCAGTTAAGGTTGTAAAAATTTGAATTGTTTTTACTTTGTCTGTTAGTGTTACTTGATCGAGTTTGAATCGTACCTTCAACAAATTGCTTTTGAGCCCTCAATCACGTTTTTTGTTCTTGTTGTTGCTATTAACCCCGGCGCGCGCTGAGAAAGAGTCCCAGAAACTTGATAATTCTTGTCAGGGACGTGAACCGTGGCGCATCGTGAAAACAGCAGCAAAAATTGTGGAGATGGCTGAGGTTTGTAAGGCATCTGTGCGTACAGTTTTCGCTGTTCTTCCACTCATAAAACTTGATAAATTGCCGCCATGAAAATAGGTTACATGACAAAATATTCCTTCCCTTAAAATCTCAAACGAGAAGATTCCAGTCGATAAGAACCCATTCCAAAAAATACCTCGTTCTGAAAAATTGCCTACGTCATAAGATACCATAAGTTAAAAAATAAAGAATCAAAGAATTGAAAATCAAGGTGTTCAATCAACCAAAGCAAAAACAAAAATCCGGTTAAAATCAAAGAAACGAAAAAATATTGCTGCACAAAATCTGAACATAAATGACTTTGCTAATCACTTGGCTTTCAAAATGAAAACTCAATCACTAAAACAGCTTAAACTCAGGTCAGTACAAACTTGAAAAAGAGTTTTTTGCGAAATTTTCTTATCACACTACTTTTTCTTTGAAATTATTTTCATTGCAAGTCGCTTGCCATTTTAGTTGATAAAAATTATCCATTCTCGGTTTGATCAATTTTTTTTGCTAGACGCAATACTCAAAGACCCGACAGGTCCCTATTCCATTCTGGGATGAAACTGCTAGAGAGAAAATATTGCGTTTCGTTGTTCTCCGGGACGGTGGAAAGATACTTTAAAATGAAATAACTTAGGCAAAAAAGACAAATTAGGCAAAAAGAAAAAAAAACATTTAGTAGGTTAAATTATGAGCTGAACGGAACTAAGACAATATGTTAAAGAGTCTGTGGATAAACTAGTTATCGGTGGTTCAATATTTTTTCTTATCACACAACTTTTTCCGGTAATAGTTGATAGTACCGACGGATGCCTTCAGAACGTTAAGTTTTTGATAATAGCAATCAATTGAGTTTTTTCAAGAATTGCATATACTGAAGGATGATTGCCCTGAAATAAAGCGTCAAAGTGGCAACACTTAGATGCCTCACTTAAATTGCATATGTGGTTTGGGCTAAATCACACACAGTTTTTTGATAATGATTCCAAAAAAAAGTAAGCAGCGTTTTTCGGCCAATCAAATTCCCTCTAATGTACGTTTTTTGAAATTGAGCCGTGATCTCGTATAATGGTTTGAGATCGTTTTGTAAAATATCCAATTTGGTTGGCACCGTATATTTCCTCAATTATTAGGTTGAACTAGATTTTCACTTTAGACTACGGCATAAAACTATTAGCAAGAAACAAATTCAGCGCTAAGACTAATCCTTTTGAGGCTTTATTTGGATATTTTCCGTATATAGCACTGAGAGAGGTAAAAAAAGCTTCTTTTAGGACCAGATGGATTATGAGACACAAATAAGCAATCAACGCCGGGATTTGAAAATTTAAACGTTTTTCGGGGTTACATCTCCATAAAGCGATTCAAGTGCGGTTAGGAATCTGTTATAGGTTCGTAAGCAATTGTTGCTGAGCAGAGCATAGAGGTTAGGTGAATGGAACCCGCTAAACTCGATATGTACCGGGTAGAGCTGGTAAAATTGACTTGGAGAAATTTCGAATAAAATTGTATACAAGCCAGATTCTGTTGTAAAATT